TCTGGTGGCAAGGGACACCTGGGCGAGAGGGAGATTGGGGCTGGAAAATCCGCCTACACTTTCTCTTCCACCAGGATGTGTCCTGGGTGAGGGGCCGCTCCGGAGATAAGAGCACTTTTCAACTTGAGCGAGGGGTACCAGTCGGGCTAGGCAGTGCGCTGCCAGGTCCCCAAGGCAGGGGCTGCTTGCTGTGGTTGGAGGTCAGGAGTTTCGGGGGAGGTGGAGGGGAGTTTCTTTATCAGAAAAGTGAGGAATCGTGAGTTGACGGAGGGAGAAAGGCTGTATGGAGGGAGGTTCACGAACATTTTGAAGGTAAGAGAAGAGAGGCAGTGGAGGGGTTGGGGTGTTGGAGTTAGGTCCCTGGTGGGGACAGTGGGCCCCATGTTAAGGGTATGGGCCCTTCACCTTCTGTCAGTTTTGTGCCCCTGGGAGTTGGGTGGCTCCCTTTGCCCCCCTTTGTTTTTTTTCTGGGCACCATATAATATAGGCTAGGTCTTCTTTTGGAGTGGCTTTTCTGCCAAGTTCCCCTTGTGGGCAAGGGCAGTTGGGAAGGGGGATGGGTTTAATATCCCCAAGGCCCAACCCAGAGGGGCCTGTGGGCTGGGCTTTCAGGAGGGTGTTCCTGGGTTTCCCAAGCAAAAGACTCGTTTACGGAGCTCCACTCGCCAGGGCCCAAGCTTGGTGAATAGTTCAGGGGGTGGCCTGCCTTCAGGAGCCTCATCCATCCTAGAAGTTGGCCTTTGTTCGCCTGGGATCGGGACTTGCTCTTGCTCAGGCTGGTCTCAAACTCTTGACTTTAAGCGATCTTCCAGCCTCGGCCTCCCAGTATGCTAGGATTACAGGCGTGAGCCACCGCACCTGGCCAAGACCCAGTATTCTTGTCTGTCAACACTTCCAGCACCTAGGTACTCAATAAACGCTGACTGAGCGAGTGAGTGAGTGAGTGAAAGGAGGCACGAGTGTGCCCATCATCTGCTGTGGCTCCCGGCCCATTTCGTGGTCCCTGCCTTGTGTTGTGTCACTGGGAGCTACATTTCCCAGCTTCCCTTACCTTCTGGCTTGGATCCCGGATCCCCGATCCCTGAGCATTTATGTCGGCCAATGCAAAGAAGAGCAAAATAATCCACAGCTTCACCATACACACTTTCATAGACTGGCAATCTGGCCTAGAGTCACAGCCTGACAATGACGTCACCTTCTGTGACCTTGGATAAGGCACACCTCTCTCTGGGCTTCAATTCCTCATCTAGAAGGCAGGGGGGTTGTACTAGACCCACCGTTCTCAAACAGGAGAATCACCCAGGGCACTTGTTAAACATGACTCGCTGGGTCCACCCCCAGGTTTCTGGTTCAGCAGGTCTGGGGTGGGGCCTAAGAATCTGCATCTGTAATAAGTTTCCAGGTGACACTGATGCTTCTGGTCTGGGGGGCCACACAGAAGAACCAGTGGGTTGTATGGATGGATTTTAAGGTATATCTGTCAATGTTCTGAACGGTTACGGGAAGCTCACTCACTCAGGGGCGTGTAGAAGTAGTAATGGGGGCCGGTACTGAGCAGAGCTCCCACCCGCCTTAGCACAGGGATTTTGGCTATAATCGGTTTTGTTCATTTGCTAGGTGACAGTGGGTCAGAACCAGGTGCTGTGCTTTAAGTGAAATGTCTGGAAACCTGCTGACTAGCCTAGTGTGGTCAGGGTGGTCCCTTCTGGCTGTGACATTCTAGGGTCCTGTGACCCTTCCACACTTTCCTTTTCTTCCTCACAGCCAAGGAAGGGGCGTAGTGAGAGCAAGGCTCAGGATTCAGTCTTTAATCTTATAGGAGGGGGTGTGGGGATAAATGGAGAGGCTGGTGGGCTCCTGGGTCACCAGGAAGCACATTTCAAACCAGAGATGCATCACAGAGTGGTGTGGAGTGTACACCACACGCACACATGCATGCAAGCACATGTACACACACATACACACACGCGCGCGCACAGGCATGCACACACACACTCATGCACACACTTCCTTCTGTTCAAAGTCCCCACCCTAAGCAGGGGTCTGGGGCCCAGCTGAGTTGGGGAAGTTCCCGGACAGCACAGAGTAGCTAAGCTGCATTTGCATGTGCACTTGTGAGTCTGCATGTTCACATGCATGATGTCTGTGTACACATTAAGTTACAGAGAGGGGGATTTTAATTGGAATGATCAGGGTGTAGCTAAATCCTAAATAAAGTAGAAGCCCCCTAGACTCTCAATATCTTAGAGCTAAAGATCATCAGTTCCAAACCCCTCGTATATTTGATGAGGAAACTGGGGTTTCTGACTGCTGGGTCAGGGCTCTGGCCCCCGCCCTACATGGATGTAAAAGCCACTCCCACATACCAGAATGACATCAGCTGAAGTCAACGGATCATGGCAAATGGACAAAAATTTTCACAGAGAAGTATCTAAGCCAAACAAATCCCTTCCCAACCCTGCCTGTCCCCACCCACGTAGCCATTCCAGCTGCTCCTGGGATGCCACTTCCAGGACGGGGTCTGCCCAGCCCGCAGCTGTGGGGAGAGGCTGCGTGGAGGCTGGGGAGGCGACTCCAGGGCTTACACAGACTGAGAGGTGAGTGGCAGGCCCGGCAGAGCCCCTCAACAGTCTGAGCCGTAGGAAATCAGGGGGCAGCAGGCAGTGGGGAGAGAAACAAGGGAAGAAATAATCCCAACCCTTTAAAGGTGAGTGGGGTTCTCCAGGGCCCAGAGCTGTGAATGGACTGCAGAGAAAGGAGGAGTAGCAGACCAGCAGCTGAGAAGCAGAGGGAGAGACTGAGGGATGCGTGTGCATGTATGTGTGTGTGTGCATGTGTGTGTATGAGAGAGAGATTATCATACTGTGTGTATGTGTTTCTGCAAACCCAGGTGAGGCCAAAAGACAACAGAGAATTATGCAGCCAAGGAGGAAGACAAACACATACACCCCCCCACACACACACACAAACATAGAGGCTGGATGTGGGTGGGGCTGGGAACAGGAGGGCCAAGGTGAGCACCAGGAGGTGATGTGCTGTCAGAGTGAGCCAGGTGCAGGCCTATGTCTGTGGCAGCAGGCTGTGGCAGAGGATGACAGAGCATGTCTGTGCGTGTGTGCAATGTAGGTGCATGCCCCAGCAACTCGGGAGGCAGGCAAGCTGGGGACACTCCTGCAGTGGCTCACAGACTGAACACCCCCACAAGCATGCTCCCACACTTCTGTGGCCACGCATCCTCAATGTCCTTTTCCTGGGCCCATTCTGACAACCCCTCAGCTGCTGCCTTCGTCCCTCCTGCCTCTGTCTCCCAAGCTTGCCAGCCCACCCCTCTGCTAGGGAGTTTCCTCCTTCCTCCCCAGAGGTTAATGTCCCTTGAATATGACAGTCCCAGCCCTGAGACAAACCTCTCTGCTCTGGGGACAGTGAATGGCATCCCAGTAGGTACAGCTCCAACCCCAGGACCCCACCTCATCTGTTTGTGTCTCCAAGCAGTGCACCTAACACAGACCTTGAGTCATACAATCCCGACAGCAGATTGCAGCTCCACCTCCTATATACCATGTGACCTTGAACGAGTCACTTAGGTCTTTCCAAGTTCCCATTTCTCCTATTAACAAAAGAAGAAGAGAGTTTCCGTGAGGATTCAATGAGGTAATGAGATGGGAAATGTGAAGCCCCTAGCATTGTACCAACACAAAGCAAGTACTTGCTCTGCTGTTCTCTTTAATTCATGTTCCCAAGGGGTAAGTGTCTGTTTAAAAATGCCCCAGGGGCTTCCCAGGTAGCACCATCTTCTTCAAATCCTAAAGCTGCAGGTGACCTAGAAGCCATGTGGCCCAAGCCTTGCCTCCTCCCCATGTTGTAAATGAAGACACTTGGCTCTCAGAGACAGGTCTTGTTTTAACAGTGGGCCAGAGGCCAGAATGCAGACTCCTGCTTCACTACCACCAGCCTTCAGCTTTCTGCCTTCAGCCAGAGCCAGGGGATATTCACAGAGATGCTCCTTAAAGGTTGGTTCCCTGTTGGTTTGATGTGAGACTGAGCCCTGGAGGTGTGGCCTGGGGCAGAGGTCAGAGAAGGAGGACTCCGCAGGATACAACCATGCCCCTCAGAGTCCTGAGCAATTCAGCTCTGGCCCCAGACTTGCATTCCCATTTAGCAAAGCCAAAGCTTTGTAGAGACCCAGATTCCCTCTCTACTCTCCCCATCTACCACTTAGAGGAAATCTGGCTCTGTCCTTATCTCACCCCATTCATTGCCAGCAAGATCAACAGGGCTAAGGATGGCAGGACTGTGCTGAAACATGCTCCTTCCCTTGGCAGGAATCCCGGGAAGTGCTAAGGATGGATGCCAACAGCACAGGTCCTGTTCCTTCTTGTGTTTGTTCATCATACCCAGTGTGGAAGGCTTCTGGGAGAGGAGGCTAGTGCATGGGTAGGAAGTTGCATCAGGGGGAGGTCTGGCTAGAAAAGAGAGCAGGACATGCCAAGACCCAAACAGCTAAGAAGAGAAATGCTGGGGGGCAGGGGGTTGCAGAGATAGGCAGGAAGAGGGCACAGCTGGGGGCTATGTGGCAGGAACCAGGGACCAGATGAGTAGAAGCATTTCCTGAATCACCATCCTCAACCCCCTCCTACACTGACAAGGAAGACCCCACCCCATTAGTAGGGGTTCCTAAGGACACAGAAGGCCTGAAAGGAGGCAGAGAATGTTAGGTTGGGACCAGGGGAAAGGGGAACAGATGCTTTGTCTAGGGGTTTCCATTGAGAAACAGATGGCACTAGAGATGCTTGTCTATAGTAGGAGGAACAAGTTGACCAGAAGGGGCTTCTAAAAAAGAGCAGCTGACATGTCAAGGGGGTTTCCAAGGACTAAACAGATGTTTGGTCTATGGTAGGGGGGTCCCCAAGGACTGGCTAAGCAGAAAGAGGTAGAAAGGCCACAAAACAGGGTCTTTGGAGCATGCACACAAGTAAGGTGACAGCATCCTCCAGTGACCTACCCTCATTGACATAGTGAAAATCACACCCACCAGCGCCATGACAGTTTACAAATACCACGGCAACCCCTGGAAATTGCCTTACAAGGTTAAAAATGGGGAGGAGTCCCAGTTCTGGGAATACTCCACCCCTTTCCAAGAAAAATCATGAATATTCCACCCCCCACTTGACATAAAATTAGGGACTCAGCATAAAAGAGAAAACCTTGCTAAACTCAGGGTCTCCTCTACTCACCGGGGTTAACCCATTCCTTGTCTGGAAGGTACTATGCTTTAATAAACGTTGGCACTTTGCTAGCTTGCATCTGCTTGGTCTGCTCATTTGTTCTGTTGAGTCAGGACCAGTTACCATTCTTCAGCACTGGGAACCAAGAACCAAGGACCATGGACCTGACATCTGGTGACCACACCTGACAAGATCAGGAAGGGATGCATGCCTAATCTCTTTGCATGACCTTAATTCTAGAAAGGAGGCAGGAACCACTTCCAACTAGGTTCACACCCACCCCTACCCCTCAGCACCCAATTGGGAAGGAGACTTCCTCCAAAGGGCCCTCCACGGGCCCCCTGTCCCCACTCCAGATAAGCAGGGGCCAGTTGTGTCCTGCCGCCCCTGCCATTCACTCTCTCCCCCACAGCTCATCTGTCAAATGTGGTGTGCATTATTAATATCCAATGTGGGTCATTCATTCATTCCTCTAAGGAGGCCATAAGGCACAGCAGCTAAAACCATGGACTCTGGAGCCAAAATGCCTGGCTTAAATCCCAGCTCCACCCACTGATGGCTGTGTGACCTTGGACAAGTTATTTAACCTCTCTGCATCTCAGTTTCCTCACCTATAAAACAGGGATTATATCAAAAGCTATCTCACAGGAGTAGTGTGAAGTTTATATGGGTTAATACATGTCAAGTGCTTGGAATTACAGCTGACACATAATACAAGCTAAGTAAGTGCCAGCTACTATGTACCATTATATACTCAGTCACCCAGAAATTACTGAGCACATCCGCCAGGGGTGGTTACAGGCCTGGACCCTGCGGTGAACCGCCCAGGCGCAGTCTCCACTCTCATGGAGCTTACGTTCAGTGGGGAAGACAAACTTTCAACAGTCAGGTAAAATCTTCTGCAGGTGACACATGGTGACGACAGCTGTAAAGACAAAGGATGTGGGGCCCTGAGAGCCTGTCACAGGGGACCGTGCTGAGATTCACGGGCCAGGGAAGGCTCCCTCGGGAGTGACGCACACCTCGCTCCTCCCTGCCATGTCTGGCCACCTCGAGTGTGCCGTCGGCGTTGGCAGGTGCCAGCGTGGACAGAGCCCAGCCTGTGCCCTTCACAGGCCTGGCCCCGACATGTGTCCGCTCACTCTCTCAGCACGAAAAGTCCAGGCAGAACCGAGGCCCCCGGATTCTGCTCCAGGTTCTCACATTGTCCGGTCAAGAGCAGGCACCCTTCCTATGGAATTTCCTGGCACCATTTGGCTACCCTGAAGGTCATGGCTGTCCCTCGGGAGTCCTACTTGCTGCCCTACAGACTGTCCTCAGTCTGATCCCAATCCAGGAAGATGAAGCAACACATTGTTCTAGGTACCTTGCAGTTCATTCAGCAAATTCTTACAGTTGTCTCATGTAGTCATTATAACTCTATGAGGTCAGTGTTATTATTATTATGCCCATTTTACAGATGAAGAAATAGATTCAGAAAGGCTATGCCACTTTCCCAAGGTCACAGAGCTTATAAGTGTAACACCTAGGACTCCAACCCAGGTCTGCTTCACTCCAGACCCTGCCGTCTTAAAACTGCATAATATGGTCTTTTAAATAGCATGACTAATAGTGATTATAATAATAGCTAATACTTACAGAGACTCTCTGTGTGGTAGGTGTCATTCTGTACATTTTACGTATTAAAGTCATTTAATCCCCATAATGACCCTATGAGGTTGGTGCAGTTGGTGCGATTGTCATTCTCACTTTACAAGTGAGGAAACTGAGGCACAGAGAGGTTAAGCCACCTGCCTAAGGCCAGTGAGGTGAGTCATGAGATGGAGTCACCATGATGTGAGTCAGAGAATGGTGATGCTGGGAACAACCTCAACAGTCCTCAGGGGGAGGCCCAGAGGGAGGAAGTGACGGGCTTGAGGCTGCAGTGGAGCAACCCTGTCCCCTGAGCAGAGCCCACTGTCCCCCACACCACCTCCCTGGCCCATCCGTCTCTGGGTATCGAGAGGCTGAGTCTGCCCTTGGGACTTTGCCTGTCCCCTCCCCTCTCAGTTGGCCCACGCTAGTGAGGGCCTGGGCCCCTGCACTCCACTCAGGTCTCTCGCTAGGTGACCTCAGCACAGCACAGTGGGCCTAACCCTATAAAACCAGACCCCAGGGCCTGCGTGGGCAGGGGGTGCCCTTGCAGTGTGGCGGCTCCCACCCAGAGAAGGGTGCAGACCACCAGCTCTCCATTGTCCCGATTCCAGAGACGTCTCTGCACCTCTCAGGCCCCGTTCAGCTCCAGCCCCTCTCCCCGGCACGCAGGCCTGTCTCTGTCCTTCTCAACACAGGACAGGGAAGGGCACAGGTGAAGGACGAGGCTGAGGGGGCAAGAATTAAAGGCAGCCAAGGACTTTGGAGACCAGAGAGTTCATTTGGCTTTTGTCCTTTAGCCCATGGCCCCATCCCGGCGCCACCACCGGAAAGCCACGGGGGTCTCTACTACTCTGGTCCGCGTACCTTCTGAGCACTTGGCCCCCTTTTTCCTGGGGAATAAATGAGGGGAAGGGTTGCAGTGGAAGGCCCCTCCGGACAGCCGGGAGGTGTGGAGCACCAAGGGGAGGGCACAGAGCAGAGGCAGGTCCTCAAGGTGACCCCCTCCTCTAGACCCCGGGCTTGACTCTCCGGAGGTCTTATACGGAGGACAGACAGTGTGTAAAGAGAAAGGAGCCTGCAGGGTGACGCTGAGAGAGGGCCCTGCAGGACAGACGCAGAGTTTAGTGGTCCCCGTGGACGGGAAGGCAAGGCAGGTGGCAGGTTGCTGAGTGGGCTGAGGATCCTGTGGGGGTGACGCCCCCCTGCCCTTCAAGTTGCACAGAAGCATCTTGCCGAGGCTTTGTGCTGAGCTGGCATGTTTCTGCCTCCCAGCTGGACCACAAAATGGGAGGAAACATCCCATAAAGCTCCTGAGCTGCCTCTGTGGCCGGAAGCCCTGCCAGGGGCCGCTGATTCCCCTTCTAATTGGTCTTAATTTCCATGATTTGCAGGCCCCAGGCTCACTGAGGGCCCATTCCCCATTGTGATGAACAGGCAGGAAGAGTCGGCCTGGTGAGTCAGCCCCACGGGCTCTGATCTGATCCAGCAGGTTCCTGCAAGGCCTAGGACACAGCTCGCTCCTCCTCTGCCTACACCCAAGCCAGAGCCCTGGGCCACGAGCCCCTACTAGAGCTCAATCCTTTCTCCCATTTAACCTCTGCAGGAGGGTCTCACCTCCTACCACACAGCAACAGGATGTGGGAAGAGAACAAGCTCAGTACCTGGGTTCAGACTGAAGCTCTATCACGTATCGCTGGGAGCCCTTCCCAGGGCCTGACACATAGTAGGTGCTCAATAAATACACATGACTCCACTGCCCAGCTGATCTAGGGGGAACATGAAACTTGGACCTCTCCTGCCTCCTGCTCTCTGGTTCTACTTTTGTCACAGTGACTAAGGTACAACTGTGGAGTCAGGCTGCCTCAATTTGAACTCCGAATAAACTACTGTCCAAGGAAACTCGGGCAAGTTATTTAGCTTCTCTGCGCCTCAGTTTCCTTATCTTTAAAATGGGAGCAATAACACTACCTACCTTTCATACGTGCTTTGTATGAAAAAGTTCAAGTATGCTGTGGTAGACAGAATAATGGACCTCAATGCTGCCCATGCCCTAATCCCTGGGACCTGTGAGTATGTCGCCTTGCATGGCAAAAGGGACTCTGCAGATGCGTTTAAAGTCTGGTGCTTGAGAAGGAGAGATTACCCTGGATCATCTAGGTGGGTCCAAACTAATCATATGAGTCCTTAAAAGCAGAGACCCTTGCCCGGCTGAGAGAGAGAGAGAGAAGTGCTAAGAAGTATCAGAGAGACGGGCCGTTGTTGGCCGTGAAGGAGGAGCCACAAGCCAAATTTGACAAGTGGCCTCTAGAAGCTGGAAAAGGCAAGGAAGCAGGATCACCCAGAGCCTCCAGAAAAGAATGCAGCCCTTCCCACACCTGGATTTCTAGCCCAGTGAGACTTGCATTGGACTTCTAACCTGCTACAGAACTGAAAGATAATAAATCCGTGTGGCTTTAAGCCACTAAGTTTGTGACCGTTTGTTACAGCAGCAATAGAAAACTAATGCATGTGTGTTGCACTCAGAACAGTGTCTGGCACACGTAAGAGCTCAATAAACATTAGCTCTTGGCCAGGCACGGTGGCTCACGCCTGTAATCCTAGCACTCTGAGAGGCCGAGGCGGGCGGATCACTCAAGGTCAGGAGTTCAAAACCAGCCTGAGCAAGAGCGAGACCCCATCTCTACTAAAAATAGAAATAAATTAATTGGCCAACTAAAAATATATAGAAAAAATTAGCCGGGCATGGTGGCGCATGCCTGTAGTCCCAGCTACTCAAGAGGCTGAGGCAGGAGGATCCCTTGAGCCCAGGAGTTTGAGGTTGCTGTGAGCTAGGCTGACGCCACGGCACTCTAGCTGGGGCAAGTTGAGACTCTGTCTCAAAAAAAAGAAAAAAAAAGGCTCTTTGTTCTTATTACTATTAACACAGCTGTTGTACAGGGTAGCGGACACAGGTTGCTTCCCTCCAGGGCATGCTCTCCCGTGAGCTGCTCAGAGCCCTAGCTCATGTCACTGGGTACAAAGACTGGATCATGACAGCCTGGGGGCAGGAACATCCTCAAACATAACACTGACAAAGCCACCTAGTGAGCATAAGACAAATGAATCAGTGCCCCCAACACCGTGGTTCCTTTCTTCTAAAGAACAGGAATGGTGGGCACCCAGGAGAGAGGTGGGCCTGCCTGCACCAGCCATGCTGACTTCCTATAGTGTCACTGCAGAGATGACAGCCCTGGGGCTTAATTGCCATCCATCCCCATTATGATGGGACTGCCCAGGAAGACAGAGTGGGCCGGGGAAGGCGCTGGCCATTCGGTATCAGGTGCATCCAACCCTCGTGCCTGCTATGCCAGTGTGAAATGAGGGCCAAGACGCCCACAGGAAGAAGGACTTACCGCAGTCTAGACAGAGGCAGACACTTTAGTGGAAAGGCACTGAAAGCCAGATAATGCAGGATTTGCTCCAAAAGACCAAAAGATGTGGGAAAGGCTATTTTCCTTCTGAACAGCTTGTGTGGCTGGTGACAGGACAGAGAAGGGAGATAAAATAGTGCCAGAGGCCAGTCTGGCCGGCCGCTATGGGACATCCTCCCAACTCCCCAGCCAAAAGAGAGTGAGTCTGTGCCACAAGCCCCCCACCTGCCTGCCTCCCTCTCCTTTGCGAAGCCCTTCATCCCAGTTTTCCTCCCCAGCAACCCCAACATTCTCCCTGGATTGCTAGGGGCCCCAAGAATCTGTCCCCATGAGATTCTAACCTACCACTTCTCAAGTGCCAAAGAGGGGCCCAAATTGGTGGCCTCTTAACGACTCAGTGCTCTAGGGCAAGAGTCTTCACCCTTGACCTAGACCAGCCCACTGTCAATACGACTGTCCACAATGTCCCAGACCTCCCCCCATCCCAGGGAACAAAGGCCACTTCTAGATGGTGAGGTCCCTGAGGGCAGGCCACCCCTGACTATTCACAGCTGGGCCTGGCTGAGTGGGCCTCCAGAACGAGTTGCTGAACCAGGGAACACCCTCTAAAGAGCCCACAGCCCTCTGGGGGGGGGCCTTGATTAAAACCATCCCACTCTCCCAACTCCCTCCAAAGGGGAACTTGGCAGAAAAGGCCACTCCAAAGAGCAGGCTGCCTTGGGGTGACTGGAGAAAGGAGAGAGCTAGGCTAGGGGGCAAGGGAGCCGCCACTCCCAGGGGCACCCTGACAGAAGGTGAAGGGCCCATCCTACATGGGAGCCCACTGTCAGCAGGGACCTAACTCTCAACACCCCAACCTCCTCCACTGCTCTCTGCTCTACCTTCATGTTCGTGACCCTCCCTCCACAGCCTTTCTCCTCCGTCCCCAACTCACGATCGTCACTTTGGCGTGATAGAAAGAAAGCTCCCCTCCAGCCGTCCCCCAACTCTGACTCCAACCACAGGCAGCCAGCCTGCTTGGGGACCTGGCAGGGCCACTGCTAGCCCACGTGATACCCTCGCTCAAGTTAGAAAAAGTGCTCTTTCTCCAGGTGGAGGCGGGCCCCACCAGGACACATGGCCTGGTGAGAAGAGAAAGTGTAGGCTGGATTTCAGCCCCATCTCCCCCTCGCTCAGGTGTCCTTGCACAGTGCACAGACTACCCACCTGCACATAGCAACCTGGTGACAGACCGCACTCGCAGCAGTGCCCTCCAGTCCTTGATAGACAGTCCAGGCTTAATCCCTCGTTTTACAAGCAGGGAAGTAGAGCCCCAAAAGAAGTGGGGTATTTATCCAAAGTAACACAGTAAGCTGGTGGCAGAACCAAGGTTGCAGACCCAGGTATCATAACTCCTAATCCAGTGCTCATTCCCTCACCCAGCTCTACCCAAGACTCACTTCTGGGGACAGATGGAAGAGCCAAGACAGCAGGAGAGCTCCTGACAGCAGCACCTGGGAAAGCCCTCTTGCATTAATTACAAGAGAAGTGATGGCCTCATCTCAAACTCTGTCTAGACATAAAATTGAACATAAAGCTTTCTGAACCGTGCACCACCTAACCCTTGGCTGGTGTAGAATGTAAATACAGATCTTCCCCAGTTATTTCCCAGCTACCAACCACATTTATCTCATGCTACTTCATTGTGCTATGTCCCCTGATGTCTGCCTAGGCCAGTATATCTGCCTTGGCCTGGAAACTCCAAGATGAAGTTTCTTGCTTCAGGAAAACCCTGAATGCACAAGTGCTCAGAAGATGAAGGCAAGGGCAACAGGGTGTTGGAGGAGGAGGAAAAGGAAAGGATGAAAAAGGAAAAAAGGATGAAGAGGAAGAAGAAGAAATGCCATTTCTGATGTCTTACTTTCTTATCCAGCATTCCCAGTTGTCTATAACACCACTCAGCTCTGCTTTCCAGAAATGGTAGTGGAGATACACACGTACCTGCGTGCGCATACTGTTCACTCGCTCTCTGTCTCTGTCTCTCTTCCTTTCTCTGTCTCCCTCTCTCTGGGCAGTACCTGCAATATAATGTGGTGATTAAACTCAGGCAGAGCTAGCCTTCCTGGCTGTGAGACTCTAGGCAAGAGCCTTAACTTCTCTGTGCCTCAGTTTCCTCTTCAATACAATGGGATAACAACACACATGACCTCATGGAGTTTTATGTAGATTACAAGAGTGACTATATGTGTGACACTTAGTACAGTGCCTGGCTGATAGCAGGTATTTGGTAAACATCAGCTGTAACTTCCTCAGGATGCTGTTTCTTGACACCCCGTCCTGGCCCTGTTTTCCCACAGATGGGGTGGAAGTGGGGGGCAGTTGCCTGGCACAGTTTCCGAATCAGTATTCCAACCCTCAGCAGAGATGGGCTTTCTGGGAAAGAAGTGAGTTTCCAGTCCCTTGGAGTGATCAAACAGGATCCAGATGAACATTTGGCATGGAAGTGGCAGAGGGAGAGGAGGAGGGGAAGGTCTCTTCCCAAGTCCCTTGCAACCCTGAGAGCCTGTGAATATGCAAATAAACCCACATCTCCAGACACCCATGTGGGCACAGCCTTGCCCACAAATGGGGACACATGTACAGGGGTACACCCTGTGCACTGGCTTTGGGGAGCAGGAAGAAGTGTTACAAACCAGGCCAGCCAGCATCCCCACCCCCAGCCGATTCCTGTGTGCACACAGCACCCAGGTGGCAAGCAGGAGCTTTGAGGGAGGCACCAGGTAGGATTCCAAAGAGCCTGTTTCCTGCCACTCCCAGTTCCCTTTTGACAGGTACCAACTGCCAGCCCCCCCCCACCAGGGCCCAGCTCTGAAGGGGGTGAGGGGGCAGGGAGCAGCAGTGGCGCTAGGTAGAGGGTGATGGTTCTACTCTGCCCCAGGTGGACTGATAGGGAACTGGGGCGTCCTAGCCTCTAAAGGCGGGGTGCCAGAATTCAGACGCAGTGAGCGGTGACTTCCCTGTCACAGAAGGAAACGAGCAAGAGTTTGCAGAAGGCTCAGAAGTCCCACTTCTCGAAAAGGCTCAAATCCAGTGACACCCTCAGGTCCGGGCAGTTTCCTTTTAGGGGTCAGATAAGACAAGAGATTCAGAGAAATCTTGCTGTCAAAACTATCCCTGCCCTCTCCTCCCGCCACCTCACACGGCCCCCCCACGTTCCTTGCTCTGGGAGCTGCGTGCCCCTGTTAGCCACTGTGTGGAGAGGACCGTGCTGATGAGCCCGAGCAGCAGCTATTCCGGCCGCCCTACCAGCCCGGGTTGCATTCCTGCACAGGATTTGTCTTTGCAGCAGCTGCCGCAGCAGTTCTTCCTTCCTAACAACACTGGCTTCGCCTGGTATTAGAAAGGGCCCCTAAGTGCCACGGAAAGTCTTTGCTGGGAAGGCAACCACACACCGGGGGGATGGGGAGGTAGGCCAGCCCGGAGCGAGCCATGTGCTGCGGCTGCATCCAAAGGCAGGTGATCCCGCTGCAAAAATTAAGTAGAGGGTCGGGTAGAGGGATGGAGAGGAGACCGACAGTGAGGAGGGGCCAAGAAGCCGGCAGGAGGCCTCGCTTTCCCAAGACCAGCCCCCAGCCCCCGCCCCTCCCCCACCCACCCACGTACCCACGCCCCCGCAGAGCGAGGGGCTGCAGGAGGCGGGGCGTGTGTGTGCGAGTGTGTCCCCGCGCGTGTCCCCCAGCTCCCCTACCACAACCCGGCTACTCTTCCCAATCAATGGCCTCTTTGTGGCACAGAGGGACAGAACGGCATGTGCGGGGGGAGGGGCGGAAGGCTGCCTCCTGGGCACCCGGGCTAACTGCCGTCGGGGCAGGGCTCCCCGGGAGAGTCGCTCCCACGGAGGGTCTGCACACCCTCTGGACACAGAGAATGGGCGACAGGGGCCGTGGCTGGAGCCTCCACGACTCTGCGCCGTGGGGCTGCCGCGGTCCCAACGCCGGGAAGGACCCGGCCGCGCACTCTCCGGGCCGGACGCCCGCTAGGTGGCGCTGGGCCCGCCGTGCTCGTCCCGCCTCCTGGCAGCACAGCAGCGTCCGAGGCGCCAGCGCACCTGGAGGTGGGCGGGGGTGACAGGTGCCTGCTCAAAGACCCACAGAGGGGGGAGAGGGAGATAGGAGGAGCATTCTCGAAGTCACTCATTCATTTGTTCCTTTATCCATGCCCACTGAATTGGGCAGCTGGACAGTGGGACAGTTGCACATCCTTCCCATGAAAGTCTAATTATAATACCCCCGTCGAGAAGGCCACAACCTCAGAGAGACTAGAGATGTGCACAGGAAAAGTTAATTCACAGCAATCTATGCCAAAGGCCAAGTGAGAGGTGGAGCCAGTGCCCCAAGTTCAGAAACAACCATGCAGAGATGGGCTACCTTGACCATTCCACTCCAGACCAGTCAGATAGGTGAGAGCCATTCATTCCTGTCTGTGGCCCTGGGCCAGACCATGGGCATTCAACTGTGACCTCGTCCTTGGGGAGTTTATGGACTAGTGAGGTAGAAAGACATCAGGCAGATAGCTATACAAATAATTACCTAGCTACAGCTGTCATATAAGTGCACAGGTATATAAAGACTTGGGGAGGAAGAGTCAACATGCACCCCGGGTTGCCTGCTCCAGCCCTAGCCAAGGTTGGGATAGGGGAGTTTGCCTCGTGCAGAACATAATTCCAGTTCCTCTTAGTTCACAGTAGAAATAAGAAACAGTTGCCTAACATCTGAGGCATGATGAAGGCTAGGGTGATCTTTTTTCTCTGGGTGAACCAGGGAAAACAGGAAAGAGCCAACAGTCACTGAATTAATTCTATATGCGAGGCATGGGGGATGTCATCTCATTTAACCTTTCCTTCACTCAGTGGAATGGATGTGAAGCCCACTTTACAGAGGAGGAGACTGAGGCTCAAGGAGGTAAAGGACTAGCCCAGAGTACCAAGAGCCAATCTGTGGCCAGGCTAGGACTGGAACCCACAACTGCCTGAGGTCCCAATCCCACACCTATCCTGCTGTTGCAGCCTCTGGAGCCACGTCTGGCTGCCCTGCTGGGGACAGAGCAGTAAGAGGAGAGAAATCAGAAAGAGAAAGGGGCTGGACAGGCTGAGAAACCTCCAGACTGGGGCCCTGTCACCACTTCCAGCTCATCCCAGCCAGCCCTTTCTCAGAATCTCCTGACCAAACCACCACCCGCTTAACATTCTGCTCAGTTTCCTCTCTACTCCGACTCCAAATGTTTATCAACACATGCTGTAATGTAATCAGCTCCTGGGAAAATACACACCAGGTAACGGATGCTGACAAGAGTGTCAAACAGATGTCCCCTCCCTCCCTCCCTCCCTCCCAGCCAGAGCTGGCACACCCAGGAGGCTGGGGAAGTGCCTCTTGCCATGCCACCCCTCCAGCCCTGGCAAGGGAGGCATTCCTCCAGAAGCTGCCAGGGAAGGGGACAGGCCGGACTTCGTGGGGCCCAGCAGTGTGCCAGACACTATGCTGTGGGCTTCACACACATCTCATCTCATCCTCACAGCAGCACTGTGAGTTTGGGGTTCCTATCCCAATTTTTCAAATGCAGAAACTAAGGGAGACAATGACCATGAAACCAGAGGGAAGTAGCAGCAGCAGCAGCAGAAGCAAAAGGGACCCTCACTCTACCTGTCCATTTGCCATTAGGCCGTCTCCCTACTGACTACAGGCCCTGGAAGGAAGCTGCCCTTGTCACCTTTCAAAGTTGTCAGATCTAAGGGCCTGGCCTCTGTAGACTTGGAGGCCAGGTGGAAGAGGGCTTGCAGACTGCCCTGCATTTCTGTGCCAGCCAGGTAGGAGATGGCGTGCCAAACCTGTCCTGAAAGCGCAGGCCCAAGCAGGAGCGAGAGGCTCCCACTGAGGGTGGAGGAGGAGAGAGGGGCTCCAGGGAGAAAAAGACCCTCCTTTGTCCTTTTCTCTTCCCATCTCCTTGAACCAGAGGTTAAGGAATCACAGGCCAGTCTAGACAGAGGGGAGAGGAAGTGCACAGAGTTGGGGAGAGCCCAGATGGGACAGGATCCCACCCCCAGGACCTTCCAGGCTCTCCCAGGATCGTCCCTCTAAGGCTGGGCAGTCCTAAAGGAAATCAGTATTTGCTTTTCCCTCCAACGCAGTCAATAGCTCCTTTCATCTGACAGGGAGTTGTAAATGAGACTTTATGGGATTTCTAATGATGGCAGTTTCCCTTTATCAGCCTCCAATTCCCACTTCTCAGCTGGAGTGAACTCCAGGAAATGTTTTGACCAGGAATCAAGAATCTAGCAGGATCCTGCCCTGGCTGCTGCTCTCTGTGGTGAGAGCTGAAAGTTGTCAAAAAGGTATCTGAGGGCCATGGGAAGCTCACTACTGAGAAGTCAGATCTGAGTTTCGGGCCGCCTCCCAGATGGCGAACTTCACCCCTCTGGCCTCTGCTGCTTCCACTGTAAACCTGGGGTAATAATGCCTGCTCCACCCACCTAGCTCACAGGGCTGCTGTGAGGATCAAATGAGATTACAGGTCTGAAAGCCCTTTGAAAAATACAAAGCAATCACCCAACCTGGTTTTGCTATTGTTATTATTGCTGTTGTGATTGTGTGTAGGTGCAACAGGGAGAGCAAATTATGGCAACCTGCATGTCTTTGAGAGTGATCTTGTTTGTGTACATGGATGGAGGCATATGCACCAGTTTTATGGAAGGGTGGAGTTCTGTGTTTGCACCTGCTTTTAAAGGAGTATATGGGGCAATGTGTGTGGGTCTATAAGTGTGTTGGTACATGTGCACACATTAAAGTATCTTAATATAATAGTAACATATTAAAATATCACATAATAGTCCTATGTGCCAGACATTGTGCTAAACACTTGATATGGATGATCCTTTTTGATCCCTGTGATGCATTTATAAAAGAGGGGGTGTGGGGCAGCACAGGTGTGCAGACATGTGTGTGAGGCCACGTATAGAGCATTTACAACATGTATGTGTCAGTGCTAGGTGGGGTGTGTCTCAGATGAATGTAATGTAATGTCATGTCTATTCATCTCAGCCAGGTAGCAGGGAATCTGTCCATGTGTTTGCCTGAGTTTCAGAGAAAGTGTGGGCATAAATGTCAGGGAATCTGAATGTGAGTGTGCGTGCATGTGTGCGCACGCACACGCATATGGATGCACACCCACCTCCCTGTTGCTGGGCCGATTAGTGTAATTGTTTGTTATTTATTGGCTGTCTGGGCTGCATGAGCCCCCAGCATGCCCTGAGCACCACTGCCACACAGCCATCAAACCCACACAGACACACTGTGGTGACAGCAGCATGCCTGGGAGGGGGCTCCACTCAGCTCTCCAGGAGCCACAGTCTGTGCCAGGCAGTGGGCCCCCTCCAGGGAAACGCACAGATTGACTCCACCAGATTTGGAGCTGCAGGAGGGCCTCACATACGGGCTGGGCACAGAGCCTCCAGGGCAGGACAGACACAGCCAGTGCGCTCAGCTCCAGGGTACCTGGGCCCAACAGCAGAGCCTGAGCACAGTATGGTCGGGGGCTGCTGGGTGGCCAGGTGGGAAACATTCTTGCTCTGCTGTCACCCTACCGCAGCTCCTTGCTGCCCTCAGGATGAAGTGCAAACTCCATAACGCAGCAAGCAAGGCCCACGAGACACGGGCACACGCCCCACCCAGCCGCCTCTCCCATGCTCTCCTGCTGCCTCACAGCAGCCGACTGAGCTACTTGCAGTTCCTCAATGCACCCAGCCTCTGCGCCTGGTCGCCTCCTTCCCCTGTGCCTGATTTCCCCACCCATGACAGCCCTGGCCAGCCAGTCCTCATGCCTTGGGGCTCTGCTCACAGGAACACCCCCAGACCCTTCCTGACCCTGTAGACAAGGGAAGGGTCCCTGCACACCTGACATTCCCGAAGACCCCCAGATTTCCCTATCACCCCACTTCCTTGTGGGCCCTCGCCTCCCTCGTTAGACTTTGGTCCCAGGAGGGAAGGGAGTGTGTCTCAGTTGTCCCTGGCTTCCTCCCGAGGCCTAGCCCAGTGCCTGGTTGCAGGTGGTCCATAAATATTTCTCGAGTGGATTGTTAAAGGCCTGTTGTGAGAGACAGGCTGCTCATACAAATCATAGTGTTCATCAGACATGTGCTTGGTCTCTCAGATCTCAAGGCTGGGGAGAACGACTCCTTCCCCCACTCCCCCTCTCCCATCTCACCCCACCAATCATCATCATCATCCGGGTGTGAAGATGGTGGAGTTCACGGAATGCTTTGACAAAGGTCCAGAGTCACCACTACCATCTTACAAGGGAAGAGACTGAGGCCCAGAGAGGCAAAATAGCTTGTTATTAGGGTGACAGACTTGTCCCACTTTCCCAGGACCTTCCCAGTTTTAGCACTGGAAGTCCCATGCCCTGGGAATCACTCCCTTCCCAGTCCCAGGCAAACCAGAATGGTCACCCTTCTTGTCCATGGTCTCACAGTTAGTAAATGGCAGATGCGGGATTCAAACCTAGTACTCCCAACTCCAGATCGGAATATCCTCCCCCTGCTCGGCTGCCTCCCAAGCAACACATGGTCTCAGGTTCCTCAAAATTCAGTTACCTGCATGGGCATTGTCTACTCTTTGGGTGTCACCTCCAGGCCACTTGGCACCCTCCTGGAGCACTTCTCCCTGGAAATGTGTGCTTGAGGAGCGCAGGGCATTAATATTAACCTAAATCAAATATAATTCAGAAGCTCATTTCTGCAGGAAAAGCACTTTACATAATATAGAAAAAAATTAAATCTATTATTAAAGTAACTTCATAATGACATTAAAGTAAATTTTAAAATAAAATTAAAATTAAAAAAAATCTTCACCCACAAATTATTTTCATTTCTCCATGTCACCTTCACATTTTTGTCTTTATAGGTGCATATTTTTACAGAATTGTAATGCAGTATATGTGTAATACTTGTTCTTTTCACTTCACATTATAGAAATCTGGTTTGGATTGTCCTCATTTGGGATTCTCCATGTCACTAGCATCCCTCATTAGCCCAGATCACAGGGAGTCTGGGCTCAGGGCTGCCTCCCTCCCCAAGGACTCCTTCCTCAGCGGGGATTTCTAACTCAGGGCCCCAGCTGGGTTTCGGCAGGTTGCCATGCAAACACCGTCCTTGCGCATATGTGCCACTTGCAGGGCAGAGGGACTGGCACTAATCAGATCCTGATGTGGGCTGAGATGCAGAGAGGCAAGACCCATGGCTCTATGGCCCCAGCCACGTGTCTGCACTCCCAGGCAGGTGTCCACTACGCGCTTCCTCCGCTGGGCTTGAGCTGACCCAGGAACTCTGCTCTTCCCTTATAATAAATTCCATTTCTTGGCTTCTATATGGCTCTCAGAAAGTTCTAGTTCCTCTAGACCAGGGGTCCTCAAACTTTTTGAACAGGGGGCCAGTTCACTGTCCTTCAGACCGTTGGAGGGCTGGACTATAGTTAAAAAAAAAAAAAAACTATGAACAAATTCCTATGCACACTGCACGTATCTTATTTTGAAGTAAAAAAACAAACGGGCAAAAACACCTGCATGTGGCCCGCGGGCCGTAGTTTGAGGACGCCTGCTCTAGACGAGTAGTCCACTCTGATAATTATCCTGACCACAACACCCACCCCTGGATGTAAGGGCATCGTCACAGGGAAAAGCATGTGCGGGGGAGGCTAAGTGTCCTCCTTTCTCAAAGTCCTCTTCCTTCTCATCGCTCCCCTGTCCAGCGTGCTCCTCCCTGAGCTCCATCTAGTCCCTTTCCACCCTCGTGACCGAAGCTCCCTGGTCCAAGTGGAGCCTCAGTGAAACCCTCTTCTCAGTACTGCTGTCGAGTTTTAAGTACTCCCACCCCTAATGAGAAATGCTGCTTCCACCCACATCCTGAGTTCTCTAGGATTTGAGATGTGGCGACTCACAAGAATGTATGGGGGGCCTTCTGACCAGAGCAGGGCATGGACGAATTCACCTTCTGGAGTCCCTTTTTCCTGGAGAATTGGGACTGGAGCCTTTCTATCCTTGCACAGAGCTCCAGCCCCAAAAGCATGCAGATCCCACAAAGAGAGCTGGCTGCCTGTTAGCCACCTTGGTGGCACATTGACATGGTGGATTGTCAGCCCCAGGAGTGGGTGCAGCTATTTGCAGCTGATCCATCCCCAAGAGCAATGGCAGCCAAGGCAATAGGGAGGCTCTGCAGTGATCTCTGTGGGAATAATAGTAATTAAATGTTGCTAAGCACTGTGGGATACGGAGGCACCACCATAATCACCACAGCCACCAGGGTGATGATAACAGTAATTACCTTCTGTGGTTTCCCAACTAACTACCCCCAGGAACACTGCCTGGGGTGAGGTTGGCCTGTCAGGTTAGGGAAGGGGTACCCATGCCAGGTGGGTCCTCTCCCATGCCTGGGGTTAGCTAGGGCATTGGCCATACTTTCTCCATGGGATTCCTGCTCTTCTCCTCTCCCCTTGCCCTCAGGCTCAACTGACCCCAGATTGAGGATTAAGGACACAGGAGGGGGCGACTCCCAGCCAGCACACCACTCCAACATATCTTCTCCTCCCAACAGATTTCAGGGGATTGCAGAATCTTGGGGACTTCTTAATAGGGCTCCCCGCACATCAAAGTGAGCTTTATTAGCCAATTACTGAATGACACAGAGGGGCCCAGGATATGGCCAGGAGGGGAAGTCATTATTGTATTGACTTTGGGCTTTTTCCAAGCCCAACAGCTGCCTCTCTGAAAGAGCTGTGGAAGCCGAGGGAAGGCTTGGGGGAGAGTTTCCTAGGGACTGCGCCTTCTTCAGGGCTGATCTCTGTCCAGGGCCCCCACCCCCACCCCGTGCTGCCTCCAGCCCTGGGGCAGATGAAAAGGGTGGACCCAACTGCCTGTCCTTGCAGTGGGCTGTCATTCCTACAGTCATCAAGTCTCAGAGCCAGGAGCGAATGTGGAACTCAACACATCAACTCTCCACCCCAAGGCAAGCGAAGCCCAGGTATGGCATCCCTGATAAATGGACCAGCAGCCTCAGGCTGAAAGTGACTAGGAGCTCATGCCATTGTGGGTCAACTCGGAAGCCTAAACAAGTCTTCCCTAGACCAACCTGAAATCTACCTCGCCAAAACATATGCCCACTGGTCCCTGCTCTTCCCTATGAAGGCACACAGATTACACTTGCTCCTCTCTCCTGGCAGGTTTTGGAAGATTGTAATCACACCTCCCTACCCCTCCTTTTGGCCTTCTGAATTGTGAAATCTGAAGCCACCTTCCAACCTCCCTCTGCAGGCAACTTCAGCTCTCACTTGACTGCAATGACTTTATTCTTAACTTCCACCCATTCACTGCTCTCTTCACCTGCCCTCCAAGCTCAGAGAAAGATGGGTCCTTCCCAAGGCTGGCCCCCTCACCACCCAGCCTCTCCAGGGCCTGCTCCCCAGATTACATCCTCTCTCACTTCTTATACCTGCTTCTCCAATCCCTCGCTGTCCACCAACTCTTTTCCCTCTGACTACAAGATGCTCAGTGGCTTTTGATTTCCCATGAAAAGGAGAAAATAAGCCTCTTGGCCTATCTTCCTAACCCTCTTCAAGCTTCTGATCCATCTCACTCATTCTGTCCTCCAACAAACTTCTCAAAAGCAGAGAGGACACCCGCTGCCTCTGCTTTTCCACCTTCCAGTTGCTCCTCCTTCCCCTCTGATCTGGGTTCTGCCCCTGCTTGGCCACCAACATCACTCTCTCAAAGGTCACCGGTGGTTTTGCCACTGCTTCCAAAGACCCTTTCTGATCCCCACCCGCTTTCTACAGCATTAGCTGCTGTTAGCAACCTCCTCCTCCTCCTCTATTAAATTCTCTTCTCACTTGGCTTCCATGACAACCCTCTCTCCTCGCTTCCCTCCTCCTTCACTGACCAATCGTCATCTGTCCGTCCTACCCACGTTGTTGCCAGATTCATCTTCTGAAAGCGCAGCTCTGACAGCTCCCAATAAGCACTTCTCTGTTCAGAAACCTTCAATGGCTCACCACTGCCTGGAAAAAAAAATCATGGAGTTGTAAAATCATGCAACTATATGTAACACATAATATATAATACAATAATCTGTCATGGCTTTTCAAACCTTTTTAAGCAGCAGAATCTTCAAAATCCATTAAGATGAATCTTTGTCAGAAGCCCAATGTTTAAAGTGCGTGAAAACAACATGCTCTTTAAACATGGCTCCTACTGAGGCAAGGACTGGAGAGCCTAGGAAATTCTAGGGCTTTCAAAACACAGTTTGAAAACCAGTGAACAATTTAAATTTCTCAGCGTGCAGATAAGAAAACTGAGGTCCAGAGAGAGGAAGGGATCGGCAGAGGGTGGCACAGGATGTGAGGTTGTCAATCGACACATTTTTATTAAGTGCCTACCAGGTCCCAGGCATGTTCTAGGTGCTAGAGATACGGCAGAGAACAAGACTGATAGGGCCCCTGCCTTGGGGGAGCTGACAGCCCAGGAGGGAGTGAATGAAGCACTACAAGTAATTACTGAAGCCGTTACAAGTATGCAAACGGAGCTGGGAGAGGACATAGCAAGAGACTCACCCTTTCCGAAGGGCTGAATGGGCCACCATGAGGGAGTGCCACATGAGCCCTAAAGGATTAGGAGCTCTCCAAAAAGAAGGGAAGAGTGTTGGTGCAGATGGACCAACTCAGGTGAAGGTGGAGGAGGCGAGTTTGGTGGCTGGAAAATTAGGAAAGACCAGAGGCTTCTCCTACTCAAAGCCCTGGAGCATGGTGAGAAACAGGCAGGAGCCCTAAAATCCTTGTTGAGGACTTGACATGGCCTCAGAGTCTGGCAGGCCAAGGAAGGGTTCTCAGGCATTGGGACCTGAGAAGATAATCCACTGCTAAATGCAACATAGTATCCTGGACTGGATCTTAGAACAGAAAATAGACATTAGTGAGGAAAAAACCTGGGGAAATTCAAACAAATTATGTAGTTCCATTAATAGTATTATGCTAATGCTAATTTCTTAGTTTTGATAAATATATCACAGTTATATAAGATGTTAACATTTAAGAAAGCTGGATGGATTTTCTTCCACTGGTCATTGAAAAAAGAAAAAAAAAAAGAAAGCTGGATGAAGGGCACATGGAAACTTTATACCATCTTTGCGACTCTATTATAAATCCAAAATTATTGCAAAATATAAAGTTCGTAAAATACATACATCTTTCTGGCAGAGAGGAACAAAACTGGATATGGAGAGACAGATTACAGTAGTAATGATGACTAACACTTAAACAGCTTTTCCTGTACACCAGGCATTATTCCAAGAACTTACCATGTTTAACCCATTTAATCCTCACAACTCCTCTCTAAGGTAGGTGCTATGATTTCCCCCTATTTTACAGATGAGGAACCTGAGCACAGAGAAGTTAAGTCACTTGCTCAAGGACACTTAGCTAGTGAGTGGCAGAGTTGCAGTTTAAGAATTCCAATCAAGCCAATAGCTCCAGAGTCCCATGTGCTTGACCACTATGTTTTACTCCTTCCCCTCAGTATGTGCTGGCTATACTATCAGAGGGCATTAAAGGACCAGGCAGAAATCATGAATGGCTGAACTAAGGTGATAACAGCAGAAGTAAAGCAACTAGGCCTAAGATATATATCAGAGGCCGAATCAACAAGGTTTGCTTTTGAATTGGAATATGGTGGTTGAAGAAAAGGGAAGAAGTGAGAATGACTCCTGGGCTTCTAGCTTAAGGGAATGAACCAGAGCCTACTTTCCTGAAACTCAGTCATGTGCTTCTTCCCACCACTGAAGGAAACCTTCCAGACATTTTGCATATTGACCACACCTACCTGTCCCTTTCTCTTACACATTCCCAGAATGCAAAACAAACTGGACTGCCTGCTATTCCAACACAGGTGGAACCTCTCCCACCTCCATGCACTTCCATGTCCTTATACAAGCTATTCTTTCCACCTGAGATTCTCTCTGCCACCTCCTATGATCCAAATCTAATCCATCCTTCAGGGCCTCAGTCAAATGTCACTTTTTCCAGCAGCCCTCCCTGCTTGTTTAAAGATGATGCATGAACAACCATTCTATCTCATTTACTGGCTCCATCTTCTCCCCCAACCCATCCCCAGGGAGCCAAGCCCACCCTCCAGATACACCCTCTCTGGAAGTCCATTTAAGAGCAAATGATCAAAGAAGCCTTACCTGAGGACTGACAGGGTGGGAGAACAAGAGCAGGGAACTAGCAGACATTGGTGCGTCTGGAATTGCCCCATCAAACCCATCCATTCGGTTCCTATGATGGGCCAGGCACAGAGTTGGAGGCCATAGCAATGACCCAATTCAGCCCTGGCCCTTAAAGCACTTAGCAGCCAGATGGGAGATTCCTGCCTGCTGAACTGGCTGCCACAAACTAAAGTTGATATGGTGTTCCCAGCTTAAAACTGGGAGCAGTGGCTATGGGGCAAGATTCGCAGATCTGCAAGTTTTAGGCTAGGGCTATGACCAACTGACCACTTGTGGGCCCCTTACTCACCCAGCTGTTGCTCACCTGCATGCCTTTCCTCATGCTGACCCTCCACCTTAAATGCAGTAAGAATGCCTCTCCCTCCAGCACTTCCTCTTGCCTGATGACCCACTGAAACCCTGTGTTCCCTTCCCCCAAAGCCTTTCCTGACTCCCACCCCACCCAAGGCTACACTGGGCACTTGTCCCCAACCCACCAAACCCACCCACACCATATTAAATGCTTCTTTACAGCATCCATTTCTATATGTCTTCTCTCTGCTCCCCAACTAGATTGAGTTCCTTTAGGGCCGGGACGGTGTCTCTATCCCCAAGCCTGGCACAGTGTTTTGGTACAAAGAGAGCCCAGGTTACATTTGTTAAATGTGAAAGACCATACAGTGAGTGGGTGAGTGTTCATGTGAGTGCCGGATTTGACTACTGCAGCGGAGACTCCAGGAGACAGTCCAGGGCCGGATCCCAAACAGCGGGAATGTGCTGCTGTCCTCGCCCCTCCTCCCTCTGCTCCTCCTCCTTTCAGGAACCAGAATTTACATGTTATCAGAAACAGGCCACGTCCCCTTCTCTCCTGCCAGCTTGGAGGGCAGAGGGCAGAGGGAGCATTGTCCGATCAGGCGTCTAGGGAGAACTGGGCTCTCTTCAGTAGGAAACCCGGGGCGATGGGATGCAGATAGGAGGCCCCGAGGGCAGGGGGAGAGGGCAGGCTTCGGGCTGCCAAGGGGCCTGGAGGGCGCAGTCGCCTTGGCAGGAAGCCTGCCACACCCGGATGTGGCGGGTGGTGAACGGGATGGGGTGGAGAGTCCCTGCCCTGCCAGGGACGCTGACTGGCTGGGCCACTTTCGCGGGAATACTGCAAATCGCTCTAAGTCAAGGTGCTGGCCAAGCAGCTCAGAGTGCCGGTCCGCTTGGGGAAGGGGGCGGTGCTTCAACTGTCGGGAAAGGAACCCCGAGGGGAGCGGGCTTAGAAAGGACACCCCACCAGAAACCTCAGTGGCCGCATCACGCCCACTCAAGCCCACCACCGACTTCTCTGGCTGTTTCCTGTTGGCCCCGCGCTTAGCTGCCCCTCCATTGAGCTTCCCAGCGATGTAGGGGAGAGGGATCCGAGCTCTGGCACTGCCTGCCCTGGGCGAGTCGCCTCGTCCTTCTTCGGGCCTCTGTCTCCTCATCTGTGAAATGGGGCGAGGGCTGGAGCAGAGGGCCGCGGAGGCCCTTCCCGCTCGGACACTGCTGGACCGGGCTCCTCGGCACCGCACGCCGCTCCGCCGCCGCCCGCCGCCCCGTGTTAACTCCGCCCCCGCGGGCAGCCTCCCCGGCGCCGGCCGCTAGGGGTCACTGCCCGCCTTTGTCAGCGAGGGAGGAGGCAGCCCGCCCGGCCCCTCCCCAGCCTAGAGGCGACGGGGCACCTCCGGGGCGAGGGGCCGGAGCGGGACCCCGCGGCCGCGCTGGGGACGCGCCTGGGCGGCGGGCCGGAAGGTGCACGCGGGCGGCGGGCGGCGGGCGGCGGGCGAGGCCGCGCCGCGGCGGGGCGAGGAGGGGGTTAACGCTAACCCCTCCCCTCGGGCTGACATCACGGGAGAGCGGTGAGAGGCTGAGCCCGAGCGAGAGAAAGAGAGGGAGAGCGGCGAGCGCGGCTCGACTCGGCGCCGCGGCGGCTCCACATTGTTGCGGACCGCCGGCACCGGCAGAGCGGCGGCGGGGACGCGCGGCGCACCCGGCTCGCTCTCCTCGCGCCCGGCCGCGCAGCCAGCGCCGCCCGGCAGCTGCCGCCCAGCGCGCGCCGCCGCCTGGGCCCCGCGCCCTCCGCGCCGCCGGGCTCGTCCCGCCACCCTCGGAGGACAGCCATGGACGCCTGCAAGTTGGAGCCGAGCGGGAGGGTGTGAGCGCGCCGCGGCCGGGAGCCCGCGCCGGGCAGCCGGGCGCGCCGGGGGTGGGTCCCTCTCCCCAGCCCAGCTCTGCGTGGAAGAAGAGGGCGGGGACGGCGCGGGGCGGAGAGCGGAGGCGGCGAAGGGGCATGACTCGTGCAACTTGCGGCGGGCATCTGCCGAGCCTCTGAGCCGGCGGCGGCCCGGGCCCCGGACTGCGGCCGCGCCGATCCCACCCAGCCCACCCCGCCCCGGCCGACGGCTGCGGCTGACCTGGATCCTCCGAGCGCCCGCCGGCCGCCAGCGATCCGCCCTCGTCTTCCGGGCTGGTTTCTGGAGCGCGGGGAGCGCTCTCCTCGCCGCCCCTCTCGCCGGATCCCCGGCCCCCGATGGCTCGCATGGGGCTTGCGGGCGCCGCTGGACGCTGGTGGGGACTCGCTCTCGGCTTGACTGCATTCTTCTTCCCAGGTAGGCGCGTCCCCCCCCTCCACCCCCATGCAGTGCCTCCCCGGGGCTCCGAGCTGCATGGGGGGCACGACTGGGTTGCAGGGAGTGTAAGGAGCCAGAAAAGTTGGGTCACGGCTTGGGTAAAGGGGGCGGGAGGTGGCACGGCAGAGAAAGAGAGGTTGCGAAGCCCAGCAGCCTGCCCTGCAGGGAAGCAGTCGGATGCACGTCTCTGTAGCGAGAAAGCACTTTCTCCGCTCAGTTCTTCACAAAAATAATAATATGTAATAGCGTTCTATTTATTTAATAACCAGCTCTCAGCTCGGGAAGCAGTTTGGAAACACTGCATGTTACATAAATGCAAAATAATCACCGTAATCACTGCGTCGGGATATGAGACAACAGCCCCAGGAGGAGGGCGTCAGTCTCAGGGCTGGTGGGCTGTGGGTTCGGAGGGTGGCACGGGGGCTTCGTTCTTTAGCCAGCCCCTTTGCCAGACCGTTTCGAGCGCTTGGGCCCCACATCGCCCCACAGCGGGCGCAGAGAGCCCGCTTCTGCAGCAGGGGCGGCTATTGGCTCACCTGCGGTTTCTTTCCTGGAGGGTGAGGCCGGAGCCACCGGCGATCGCAACCTCCGGGCCTTGCGCGGGACTGGGCTGCACCTCGGAACTCCGCTCCCAGTTCTGGGGGCTCTCCCTGGAGGAGGCGCCACGGGCTTCGTGCCAGCCAGGTGGCTGCGTGACCCACTTTCCCGGGGGTGCTCCGCGCGTCCCTCCTCGAGGTGCGAGCTGCCGGCAGCTGAGGGGTTAACCCGGCCCCCGACCCGGGGGTGGCCCGCGGTGGCCCATTCTGACGGGTGGGGTGGTGGCGGAGGCTGGGGCCGGCCCAGGCATATTGTGCTGGGGAATGAACTGGAAAATGCGTTTAGGAGGCAAATCCTACCGAGTCCCCTTGCCTGGATTTAACCCTTTGTGTCCCTGGGGACTCTGCCCGGGGCTCCTGCCGGGGCTGGCGACACCAACTCAGGTCAAGGGGGGAGGGGAGGTCCTCTAGCTCTCTGAGAAGAAACCTGAGACGACCTCCAGCCCTAGCAAGATGGGCTTTTTTTTGGTGGGGGCGGGGGGGAAGCTTGACTAGAGCACGAGGTCCTCGCCTTGGGGTGGCAGGGTAGGGGGTCAGAATATGGAGATCGGCAGCTCCGCAAGGGGCGAGAATATTAGGTCCCCAGCGCCTATCGTGCTGCAGACTGGCCGTACAGTTTATTAGCAAGGGGCCAGCCCGGTTGCCGGCTCCGGTGCACTCCTGGAAGGCAGGAGCCTGGCCTCATTGACTTCTGTGCCCTTTCTCCCGCCAGCCAGCTCACTGCTAGGGCTGGACAGATGTCGCTGAGTGGTGGATGGCTGGGAAGCCGTTTGTGAAAGCCTGTACTGGGGTGCCCCCACCCCTACAGCCTGGGGTGCTGCCTTGCTGAGTGTGGAGGGCAGGGAAAATTCAAGGGCTCACAGGTGTCACTGCCCACTTCACAGGGGCAGGACTGAGCCCCTCTCCCAGAGGGTGATCTTGGTGAGACCAAGAGGTCTTCATCTCACACTGGATTGCCTGGGAAGCCTGCCGCAGATACAGAAGCTCGGGCTCTAGGACTTGCCTGACCACCGGGGTTTGGGCTTCTGGGAATCCTTCAATTCCATGTGTCCCCATCCGAAACCCAGAGAAAGGAGAGCTTTGCGGGAGCTCTGGTTGGTCCCGCACACTAGGGGTTAATCTAATCCTGGGATGGACAAAGGGTGGGAAGGTTTGGGGGAGGGGGAAGGAACTCACCCCATTCTCCCCTCTTTTTGTTCTTCTCTTTCCCCAGCTTTGTGATCCACAGTGGTTAATTCCTTCATTTGGGGGCTAGAGGTCTGCTGTGTTCCACCCACTCAGGAATCAAGGGGCTGGGAGGTGACACTCACCTGGCTCAAGGTGGACACTGCCTCTACCAAAAATCCAATGAGGGGGTGGGATGCAGAGGAGGGAACCACAGATGAGACAGGCACTTAATAAGTGCTCTCCCATTGATTGAAATTGATGGATGTGTAGCATCCACCGCAGCCAAAGTTCCCGGACCTGCCGAGCTCCTCAGCCCTGGGCTCCTGGGGCCTCCTCTGCGTCCTTGCTCTGGGGTCCATTGTGAAGGGAGGCAAGTAGATAGGGTTGTGCCTGGTCTGACACTTGGATGGAGGCCAGTAGGCCCAGAAGTTGCCAGCCCACGCCCCACTCTGCACCACCCGCGGCTTCCTCCTAATTGCCCGCTACTGCTTCTCTCTAGGGACTTGCCAGTCTGATGCTCTTTTCTGGGTTCTCTTGGGCAGTGACAGGGAGCGTGGGGGCACGGGGGTGGGGGAGGTCAGGGGGGATGAGGAGAGAATGAGGGAGGAACCCTTGTGTGTTGTGTATGTAATGGTCCCTGTGGCCCCCCCAACTTTAAAACACTCCCCATCTGGCTACTGAAGTGTAAACACAGAAGTATGTTTTCAACAACACAGACTTTACTAGGCAGGGTGGTGAGCCCCACAAGCCTCTGTTTCCTGAGATGACTGTCTGTGGCCCTTGCCACTAATTTAGGGTCAGTGGGGCATGTGGGCTGCATCCCAAGGAGGGATGGGGGAGCCAAGGAGGAGGCAGAGAACCTGCCTGAGAAGCAGGTGCGCTGAGCCAGTGTCCCAGCTGTGCCACGCCCTCCCTAATTGGCTTCCCCACACCTTTTGTCTGGAAAGAGAACACACACCCCAGGTGTCATGCACACCCTCGGAAGACCTGTCAGGTCACAGC